ACAAGTCAAATTGTGTGTTTAATTGATGAATACACAAGTAATTTGGCGCAATTCTTTAGCGAATTCTCTCCAGAAGTTGTCAGAAACACGGTCACCGAGATTCAAAACTACAAAAATTGTCTGGGAAACTACCCTAGACTACACTAGAGATGCCATAAACCTCCTACCACCGTATTTCGAAATGCTATAATTGAAACCGGTGATCGCAAGTAATAATAATCAGAACCAGGAAGTCGTGGTCAAATTAACTTGGCAATAAGGAAAAAATAATCAGGAAAATTACCCAGGAATATTAAGTGAATCCAAATAGGGTTACTGCACAGATTAACCCGGGTGTTTAACCAGAAATTTTAACCACAATGTTTTTAGAATGTATCTTACATATAGCTCTCTAAACTTTTGGGAACGTAGTAACTGCGGAGTGTCGGAAAACGTGTTGTTCAAATCCTTACGCAACACAACGCAAACATTTATCTAAAATATTCGTCTGGGCTTTCCGCCATTGATGTGGCTAAACGTGTGGGACTCGAATCACGGTTAAAACCAACCAGGTATAATTGACAGGGACATGCTCAAAGAAAGGAAACACATCGTGTTCCGAAAAAAACTAGCCATGAACTCGACTTAGAGTTGATTCATCTTCTTGAAATTTACAGTGTAGTGATACAATTAAGTCAACAACCACGGGCCCCGGGACAAATTAGTGAGCTTAAGCAAGTGACGTTTTTGACAACACGGACGTCGACCGGAAGTAAAGTGGACGTTTTTCACCAATCACAGCCCTTGACCCAGTCTTCTGACGTTACTCATGCCGTCCGTGTTGTCAAAAACGTCACTTGCTTAAGCTCACTATTGCTGAACACGCCCCCCCCCCTCCTGACCCCCGTCACTCTTAACTCTCACGTTGATGGCCACACCAAAGCCTATTTTTTAATCGCAATCAACGAGGGAATCGCCAGCGAACTAGTTGCAAGATGAATCGCGGGAGAATTTTCGTGCCGATGGCGTATGTTGCGTGCATGAATGTTACCGTATACCAGTAGATGGACGTAATAAATTTGTTCAATACAGGTAAATATCTCATTTCATCTCATAACTGATAAAGACGCGATGTAAACGATGTTTGGTTAACTGTTTTTGCAGAAAAATCGATTGAAAAACCAGTAGTGTCGGACAACACAAATTGTCTATGGGGACTTTGTGCCCCCCCTTTGTGCCCTACACTATACCATTGAGCTCCACAAATATGAAGCCCAAGATGGAGTTATTGGACGTTAAGTTCAGTCCCTTTCTATTGTTTTTGTCTGCGCGGTCTGCAAGAAGTGTGCCAAAATTTCGTATTTTGACTTCGATTTAAAGAATAATACTGTAGTTTTATAAACTGATAACTTAATTAGCGATACTGTATGTTAGAAAAAGGGCTGGAATTGGACAACTGAGCTATATATTTCATATGTAATGCTTTATATACATAACTTCTATGGCTAGCTATTTTAAAAACTGTCAAACCAATGTCAATAAAAAGTCGTCCCGGGAAGTGGAATGAAATTTTCTCATATAGACCAATGATATATACACAAGAGAAATTCATCCCGCATACTTGCTGGGCTGTTTCGCTAACTGGGTTCCATCACTGGCTTTTATATAATCATAAACATATGATGAAGCATTTTCCACCCAGTTCTGATACATTTTTATGGCCTGCTTTTATAGTACAACATAAACGACAGTGATGTTTGTGACGTTGCCTGACCATGGTGGGAATCGAACCCGTGACCTTTGGGATACTAGTCCAATGCTCTACCAACTGAGCTATACGAGGTCAAGTCAGTTCGAGTTGGCGATGTTTCGGAACTGAAGACATGATACTTTTTATGCGTGTTGGTGTGGATACACTCAGAGTAACATCACAAACATCATATTCACCTGAGTACATAACACCAACACACACAAAAAGTATGAGCGACAGTGGTGTATCACAAACCCTCACAACTACACATCTTAATATGGTATTGCCAAATAATATATATAGTTCATTACGGAACTGTGATGTCATGAACACAGGATCAAATTTCCGGGAAGAAAAGGTCGCTCCTTCCGTGTTTGCTGTGTGGCGTTTAAATGTAAAAGCTGCCTTTGTTGAAATGTTTTATTAACAAAATCTCAACGTTCAACTCTTCAATACTCTGTCATTGCCATTTATTTCACCAAGAAAAGAAGAAATATGTAGAGGAACCTTAAAAGGTGGGTTTATAACTAGCTGTGATATTTTAGTGAGTAAATAGCGAACTTTTGTTATGACCATATTTGGTAAATTTAAACTTGCGACTTGCGAGTGCCTTCGCAATCGATTATTAACAAGACGCCTACTCAGGCGTTCACACTGGCCTGAAAATAACGAGATACGTGCTATGGCGCAAAAGGCAGGAATACAAATCTTAAACCGCAAGCAAATTTTATGGACTTTTTAAAAAAATAAAAGACCTTTTCGGGAGACGTAATGGTGCAAATCTATTACTAGCAGTTACTTTCGCAAGGAAAGTGCTGGCCTTATAGCGTATTAACAGAATGCAAAAATTTATACTTCTAGACAATTCTCGGTTATATCCCCAATGTTTCCTTCTCGTCCATCATTTAAGCCCATTCACAAACTCATTCTTAAATTGTGTGCACGGAATACGAGTAAATAGCCAACATGAAAATGAAGCCATTGGGTCAAAAGTGGATATTAAGGTCTATTACAATACACACTACTTTTGTCTTAACTCTGGCTAACGCCAGACCAATTTACACTGTAACGCCAGACGATTTTACTTGTTAGTGGCAGAGTACTGTCAGTAAATGGGTTAACAAACACATCTGACATTGGTAATCCATTAACAGGCAATGTACCGCCTTAGTATTCTTTAGTAACTCTTCAGAATTTGCTCAGAGTCAATGTTATTAAAATACATCTTGTATTCAAGCGCTTTCATGTACAAAGTTTCGTTTGAATACAGCACAGAGTAGGAATATTTATTTTGAATTTTTCAAAATATCGGGTTTTTACTCGCACGCACGTTTATAGCTCGATTGATAGACGTGCAAATCATGCCGTCCTTGTTTTGACTTTTGATCGCCATAAAAATCCCAAGACACAAGCTTGAAAATAACACTTTCGATTCTGGTTCCAATGATATTATTACGAAAAAGATATGTCCAAAGGGGCCGAAGTTATGTTCGGCAAAATGTATGGCCATGGCTAGTTTACATTGTTTGTTATATTATGAAATATGATACCATACTTGTATTAAAATTTGCGTCGAACTAAATGTTATTGTATTAGGCAAATGAGTAGACTTGCCACAAGTCGACCTCGAACGAAATGCGTACGTTTCTTCGAGGTTGACTTGTGGCAAGTCTAGCAGATGAGAACCATACATGTCAATAATGGTCCCAGTTCTTGTTGGTATTTTGAACGCACGCTTTATCTTTAGTATAGCTACCACATGACAAAGCCTTTCGCGCGAATTATATTTCGCGCAGTACTAAAATTTCCGCACCCAGCGGCCAGCGCTACTAATTCTAGTACTGCACGGATTTTAATACATGTATTTAAAGGTATATTGTCGACATTTGACTAAAAATATCGTAAGGAATTAAGTACACAAGGGATGTTATGAGTCCACGACGTATATTTATTGTTGTTTATTAAAAAGTCAAACTGTCAAACCTTTAACTTGTCCTTGTTTAAAGTGCCTATATCACTTGTGGGATCTTTACGGATTTGAAAAGAGCGCAAAAAGTTATTTAACAAGTTGTTCAACCTTTTTTGATTTAGGTCAATAGTTTCTGAGATATAGGCCCTCAAACATGGCAATTTTGACCTTTTTGGAAAAAAAATCCGTCGTACTAAATTTTGCTTGGGGGCCTGGGACTCAGGAACGCGAGCGTAAACAAACACTATAAATTATATTACAAATTGCCGCTACAACTTACTAAAATGATCATTTTGGCAAGAAAACTCGGTTTATTTAGCTCAAAATCGTCTTCCAGTACTGACAAAAGTTCATATACGATTGCGCGAAATATAAAATCGTGGTGAAACGCACAAAACGACTTCAAAATCAAATTTGAAAGTGAGCCTTCCTAAATGTCGTCAAGCATATTTGGCTGTATATTATTAAATTGTCGAGCATGAAAGAGTTGGCATACACGGAAGAATATGTTTTGAAAGCTAGAAGAATATAACAGGGATGTAAAGAAATTATTTATAGATGGAACGGGCATAATCGTGTTAGTTCTCGGTAAGTGAATCGAATATTATCCATTTGTAAATATCGTGTGATAGTCACATTTGGCAATTAATATTCTGCGACTGCAAGTAAACAAACGAAAAATTGTGTATTTTAGATTCAATACTATTATAGCTTAACCATTGAAAAACACTATAAAATTTGATATAGACAAGGGAGGGATAACCGGTTTGATTTGCCATTCACAAAATATGCAGGAATTGATTCTGTTTGCCTCAATTGCTTTTGATCTGATCATTTGAAAAGATTTATTGCACAAACATGTGGTATAAGCTGATTCAAAGGAAAAGTAATCTTTGAGTAACTTTGGACTTATTCAGTTTAATAGGACCATGCAAAGTTTCTGTTTATTATAGGAATAGGTTAATGCACCTTGCTAATGTCAAGGCAAAGCTTGAGCTGCACAGATTACTGTGTCTTGACTCTTGAATAAGCTGTATAACAGATCACTGGTTTGCCTCATCTTTACTTGATTAAAGAATACATTAGTAAAGTCTAAGGTATAATTATATCTCTACTTTTAGGTCTTTATATCAGTGGCATACATGTGATTCGCCAGATTAGCTCATGGTTGTAAAAAAGATGAAATATTATAATACCATTGTGTTCTGTTCATCAAACTATCTGCAGTTTTTAATGGAAAGATACATGTGATGACTTCAAAGGATATGAATATTTGGAAAATGAGAAATAAGAAATATAAACAAATATTATTTTAAAGCACGACTAACCACAAATATGATTTTTGGTATGTGCAATATCTGTATCATTCGTTCGAAGAAATGTTATCTCTATAATAAAAAATCCCCTTCTTCATCAACCTTTTCACTGTCAAAGTTTCCAGATATGATGTCATTAGGTGAATTTTTACTATAAAGATACATTACATTTCTTATTAGAATTTTGACCCAAATATCACACAAACCAAAAATTCTATTTGGCTTTAATAGTCAACTTTAATTAATGCATGCTTGATTTTTTTGTCATTAACTTGCATTTAATAAAGTTACAGCACACACATTTATTTTTTTTTAAATCAACAGACAAAGGAGTCAAACTCATGAAAAAAAAACTGAATTCATGCTACTGTGTACAGGAAAATGTTTATTTAAAAACTTGATCAACAAGAACAGCTTAGGAAGACAGGTTATACAGAACTGAATAATAGTTGAAGGGTCTTGTATAGATGGAAATTATCGAGTAGAAGTTTATATGCATTTACTATACCTAACCAGGAAAAGTTGTGAAAAATCGAAATGCAACTGCTGATCGCTGGCAGAAATCCAATCTGCCCTGCAATTCCGGTGCAGCGCTTGCGTAACCAATATATACAGGGGTGGAAAAAATAGGTGAGCACTGCTCATGCGCAGTAAATGTTAAACAGCTGCAGGAAATTTGTTTGAATGAAGATTTGCTATTGATTAACATTTGAAGGAAACCTTAACACCCATGTCCCACTATGGGTGCAACAACATATGGTTGACAGACATTCCTTGAATTTAAAACCATGGTCAGCTAGAACACTATATAAGTTTACGCACATTTCAGATTTAGCATAAATATACTCTAATACTAATAAAGGAAATTTTTGTCTCCAGGTTGTGCTCCCGGGAACCTGGCTAGTTGAAGGGTCTTGTATAGAGGGATATTTAGTAAATGTATATAAATTTCCACTCAATAATTTTCATCTGTACAAGACCTTTCAAACATGGTCAGCCCTGCACACCAGGCACACATAAACTGGCCTGGATCCTTGCAGATGTCATCATGGCTCCAACCCTCACAAGTTCAGGTTGTTTGGCAAGGGTTGGAATGTTGGGAGCTTTACCATTTAATATTATAATAAACAGCAAAGCCATAAATTCAAGCCAAGTATTTATATATATATTGGTCTATTGCAGCAATAAAGCTAATACAATCATTGAATCA